CCGAAGCCTGAGCGGCCGGTGTGTCAGCCCACAAGCAAGGTGTGTAGTTCTTGGGCTGCGCTGTCTGATTTATGATCGCCTAGCTGTTAACAGTTCTATGAATTTGGCAATTGAATGATAATATGAAAATCGAAAAACACGTTCTTTTTTGGAGAAGATTGAATGGCATCCGGTAAGATACGGGCAAAATACGTGGCTGTAGATGATTCGCCAATATTTGAGAAAGGGGAGACAACTTTTAGGCCGGTGTGAAAACAAACCGAAAGACAAGATGTAAGTTTTTAACAAAACGTTATTATTGTTTATTGCTTTCTTATTTTGACAGATGTTCTTTTTTGAAAGAAACATAATTTAACTTCTGATATTTGTCTTATTCTGGTTGTTGCTTTTAAGAAGTTTGTTTGTGCTGTAGATCTAGAATCTAGTTTGAGGATCCAACTTCCAAGTTCCACAAGTTACAACAGCACACGATTGTTTGTTACGATTGTGATTGTTGTTCAATCATTGATTCAATGTCATTATATATTATTGTTGTTCATTGTCTGTACTGTACACACACTGTCATTGTCATTGTACTGTATAGATCTAGATTCTAGATCTAGATTCTAGTAGTGTTGAGTTGAAGGGACGAATGGGTTTGGTTGGTTACTCTTAGTCTTCTTAGACTCCGAACAAGTGAGTCTCAGTAATAATGAACGGACTGGGAGTGGGAGCAAACCTTTCTTTACCCTCGTCCTGCGGGGGCCGGGTTTATGTCACCTGATTATAAGCCTATTTCGGCACCTCACCTTCTTTCTGGTCCCGCGTCAGTCTAGCCCCTGGCTCAGCACACGCACACTGAGCACCATCTCCCCTTTAATTCGGGCCCCGAGTGGGATCCGCATTTACGTAGCTCAAGTGTGCGCGCGTCAGTCTTCTTGAGTTTGTGTTCGTTTTGGCCTTTTCTTGAACCGCCTGCATTGCTTCGTAACCGAGGCATACATCTCATTCAAAACTCACCAAGTTGGATAGTTGGTTGTCTACTGTCTGTATGATGTAATCCGTAATGTCACAAAAGACTTCCCAAAGGTTTCCAAACAACTAAGGACAAATTTGAATAAAAACACACGTCAGACCTCCATTTTATGCTCAGTTTTTAATGGTATTTTCATTGCCTTTGGTGTGATAAGATTAATGGAATTGATTCTGTGTAGATGTATGTTAATGTTCCTCTCTTGTGTGAAGTAGTATCTCTTTTCTCTGCATTCAAATTTACGAAATCCAACCGAAAGTAAAAGAAAAGTAGCACTGACAACTGACTAGACCGCACATGTTTAATTAAATTTTTTTCTTCTAATTTTTTTTTCAGTGCATCCCCATGTGGTGATACACCTTGCTCAGGAGAGGTCCCAGCTATGCATGAGGATATTAGGAAATTTACTGGTTCATGACATATAACACAAGTGCTGTGCATCTGAGTGAATCCATATTACAGTGACTCTTGACTGTTTCTAAACGACTTTCAAGTTCTGTGTTGTCAGTCTAATGTGATTGGAAATTCTACATCATATTTGTTACTACTATTACTAATAAGGCTGTTTACTCTTGAGCCGTATTGTCTGGCCGTTTGTTCATTACTTATATATAATATAACAGGATAAATAGGGGCTGTTGTGCTTCTTCTGAAAGTTCTATGATGAAGATGATGACTGTACATATCCAGACTGTCTTCAGCCTGCTGTCTGTATTCTGGCTTCTTTTAATGGTGGTCCCTTGTCTGGACGCCAAAAAAAAGATGCCCAAGTGCTCTGTGTGCAAGGATATAGTTGGCAACTTTAACAAGGTGAGTAAACAAATATAAACGGTAAACTTTACAACACCATTCTCAAACTGGGTCACGAGAACCTTCGAGCCTCTCCAGAAAAGACTGAGTCATTTTTACTCAATTGCGTATCGGACACACCTCCCTGACACATAAATAGCTCCTTCAGGGAGATGCGAAACCGTTCTGTGTCAGATGCGACATAGATTTCACCAGTAGACACATATTAACACAAAGTCCAGACTTAGGAGAGACCTGAAGGAAGTAGCGTGTATTTTAAATGAACAGAATTAAAAGCTTCTCCATCATTGTTCTCAACAGAATTCTCGATCTTATAAAGGCCATTGGCCTTTACATTACAATGAATTGTATGCTGTTAATTTAATTTTTTAAATGTAAATTACTGTTATTTTCACAATTAAATTTTAACCACTTAAACTGATCACTGATCACTGACCAAACCAAGCCGTGCTGTGAACTGTTATGAATGCAACCAACTAGTGTTTCGCGCGCTCATATCCTTACACAGATGTGAACGTCATAAAACTGACTAAACTGACTAACTAACTTTCCTATCAAGCATTATCATCCTTATCTCTGCCCCTTCTTTTTTATGTTTGTTACTCTCTTGTAACACCTCTAATCTTCGACACCATTACCATGCTCTATCGCAAGTGGTGTTAAACTCTTACTCAAACAAAAAACAAAAGATGTAAGCCTGGGTACTTATGTTATGGCTTGAAACAATCCTGGACTATGGGCTCAAGAAGTTGTAAGTTCTACCAAATCTTGTAAAAGAACTTAAGGAGATCATCTTTCCCCTCATTCTTAACAGTCACGCATTAAATTAGACAAATTTATAAGTTGGAAGATGTTTTGATTTGTGAGTTAGTCTGTATTTGGCTGTAAGACAAAAATTAATCATAGTAGTAGGAATAATTCGATATATGCTTGGATTTTCTCCTTCTTCTAATAAGAGAAAACTTTTTTCAATTTTTCAGGGTCTCTCAGCCACTGCAAAGTCAAACTATGGTGGTGGAAATACAAAATGGGAGGAGAAGTCTTTAGGATCCTACGCTACCAGGTATGTTTGGCTTCCCTTAATTGGATATATCCTTTTTTTTATGTATTAAGAAAATAGTTGTTAATAATTGTTTTAACATTTTCATTTGAATCCTGAATGTCCAAAGCTTTAGTTATCAGTATATCAAGGACTTAATTGCCTTGTTTCTGCCCTTCAAATGTGTCTGATTTTTAAAAAATAGGATTCTTATGTCTGGATTGATAACCAAATAGAATTTTTATGTCATGGAACTCTTTAAATTTTTTGTCATACTCTTTTTTTTTTTTCTTCAAAGATTTGAATTTTAAAAACCTATCACTCTGCTTTCTTTGATACTGTGCAAATATTCACACCCTCCTCCTATTTCTCAACAGTGAAGTTCGCCTCGTGGAAATTATAGAGCATCTATGTGATGACGCTGCTAAAGAGGTGAGGCTCGTTGGCATCATTGACCTAATTAATTAGGGTTTTCATTTATTTTTCCATTTGCTAATGTGTAACTATAACAACTAAAAATAGGTTTTTCTTTTTCTACCCCCCCCCCCGTTCCTCACTCAAGCTCACTTTCTTTTCTTCAGGGAATGTTTTTACTCTCAGGCCAGTATTTTGATTGGGGGGGGGGGGGGAACCTCATGATCCAACTTAGAAATTGTCCACGCAGTGTCTGATGTGCTTAAAATTATTTGGGACAATTTAAAACTTTGAATACTAATTTTGTGTTTTGAATACTAATTTTGTGTTTAGGGTATAGATGTGTATTATTCATGTTGTCACTGACCTATGGTTTTACATGTTACAGTTTGTACTGAAAAAGAAGTAAGTTTTTGTTCAAAATTTATGATTCCTCCATATATACAAATTTTTTGTCATCTCAGCTAAGAATTTCAATGAGACATAAAAAAGTATGCACACTCAGAAAAAGAGATATATATGCCTCTTACATGTTGTGTCATAAATTTGCTTGGTATGAAGTCACGTACTTATTGTGTTGTGTGTGTGGGCTTTTTTTTTGGGGGGGGGGAGGGGTTAATGTTGTTTTTCTCACTGGATCCAACTCTTTTTTTCATTCCAATTTTGTAACTATTGAAGAATCCATATTTTGAAAAGCAGTTCGTGGTTTTTTAAGATTTTGTTTCTCAATCCTATCCTTTTGTTTTCCCTCCAGTGTCATTCAGTATTAGAGGAGCATGAAGAGATGATCGAGAGCTTTTGGTTTAAAATATTTGGACAAGGGAAAGACAAGGATTTGCACCAGTTTCTGTGCATCGAAAATATGAAAGGTATGTTTGCACACCATTTGAGTCTCAGATTTTTTTAATGATCTCCTTTTCTGCTTTAAACTAAGTAAGAATCGAATTTTGGTTCACTTTTTTTTAATTAGTAGTCTTTTACATATTTACAACTTCTGACTTAAACATAGTACACAACTTAGATCAGAACATTTTCAAGACCTTTTTACCTTCTTAACCTTCAAGACCTCTTCTCCCTTATCTCTTGCATACTCTCACACATGCACAAAATTCCCTCTGAACTGTCAATTAATCTTTGTGGAAAATCACAAGGTAATGCTGTGTGGGGAAATTTGCACGACTGGGTATGGAATAATGTACAGTTTTTAAAAAAATGTATTCTTCTTCTTAACCCTATTCGTACGTCTTGTTTTACTATCGTATCCATACGACGTGAGGAACTCTGTGCCACCACTTCCAAAGAGGAAATTTACTCGTTAATCCGATCCGTACGCTTTACATAACAGTCTGTCAAAATGATTTTTTTAGAAATACTGAAAGTTTCAAAGAGATCTTCGTACTAGAAGTATTCTAAAATGTGAAGAATACAACCCCAGGGATACAAAATGAGCCCAGGGCATACGTTAATGGTAAAATGCCTAAGAACGAACAGTTGACTCAGAGGGGGCCGCACTGATGTGATTGACAATCAAACTATTGCATTTGTGATGTCTATGAAATATTTGTCAGTAGATTGGCTTCAATAACTATATAGTATGTTTGCATGCTTTTGTAGGTTTTTAAAGGAGAAAAAAAATCTGTTTCTCAAGGACTTTAAAACAAATTATGATGAAATGGTAAGGGTGTCATTTAGATCACTCAAATTATACTGTTTAACATGTGTTTTCCATTTTCCTTCTTTACATTTATTTTACCCAGCACATTCTTTTGTGTGGGTGGTTGGAGGGTGCTCTGGTGTGGTTTGCTTTTTCTTTCCTCTGAAAGATCTATCGTCCTTATCTCCCCTTCTTCTTTTTTGTGTTTATTACTCTCTTGTAACTTCTCTAATCTTCTGGCGCTCATATGACCTTATGCAGTTGCGAGCGCCGTAAAACCTCTACTAAAACTAAACGTTTTTTTGTCTTCGCATCAGAATGCATTAATCATGTTTTGCCATTTTAGCTCATCATTTCCATAATTTTTATGTTTGCCCCCCCTCTCCTCCATGTGTGTGTGCTGCAACACTCTAGCTTGCTGCCCTAACAACACCTTTGGCAAGGAGTGCGAAGTGTGCCCGGGAGGGGAAAAAACCCCTTGCAGTGGGAACGGAGCTTGTGATGTGAGTAAATACTAGATTTTTTTTTTTTATCAGTGTGCTGAGAATTTAAATTAGAATCAGCAGTGGATACTTTAAAGTCCTGGTCATGCTGTTCATCTTTGCTTTAGACAAGAAAATGTTTGTGGAGGCATCAATTTTAACATGAAAAGTGATCATTTTAGACATGTTTGTCCTCTTGGACAGTTTCATTATAACATAGAAAAAGCGCAAGGGGAAGTGTGTAAAGCGGTTGATTGGACAGGTGTTTGTTTCGACAGGTGTTTGTTATACAGGATGGACTGCACTATGAAATACAGAGGTCCCATACTTTGAATTTGCTTATCCATGCTCAAAGAATGTTGAAAATAAAGTGAAAGTTGTCCAGATGTTTTTTGCTATTTAACGGGTTGTGTCTGATAATAGAAAATTTCAGTATTAGGATTTTGTACATATGTTCGGTTGGCAACTTTTTAATGCAGAAAAATCTAGAATACACTTTTCTCCATTTTTACGTATTGTGTGCTTGTAAGTGGTGTCTTTTTTATGTGACTTTCTAAAGAAGAAAGAAAATGTACAGACTTAATGATGTGTCCACAGGGAGAAGGTACGAGGGAAGGAACTGGCAAATGCAAGTGCAATTCAGGGTATAGAGGGGATCTCTGCAACGAGTGCAAGGATGGCTACTATGAAGACAGCAAAACTGACACAGCTTCTGTTTGTAAAGGTACAGTTTATTTTTTTGGTTTTTGGTTTTCTGTTGTAAGTGTTTTACGGCGCTTGCAACTGCATGAGGTCATACGAGCACGCGGAACACATTAAGCATGTTCAGTTTGGTAGGAATTAATTTTGAATTTGTCCCGGGTGGCGGCTGAGGCCTACTCTTGTCGATTTTAGGACCACCAAGGGATCCCTAACGTGTGCAAGTTGCACATGGAACCTCTGAGATTTTTTCGCCCTTAACCGAGAAGGCTAGGTGTTCGATTTTACCTACCCTAAGATCAGGGGTGTGGCTGAAAGACAGCAGTAAGAAGGAGCCAGCGAGTAGCAGTAGAAAGGTAGCAGAAAGAGTCAGAAGCCCAGAGGAGGGGGCTAGGGGGAGGGGGGCAGAGCTTTATTAGTACAGTTTGACTCCTTATGTGTGGACTTATTTCGAGAAAACATTTGTTACTTGTTCTCTTAGTTCTAAAGACACTGAGTTCATCATTTTTGTTGGTAAATATTTTCAACTCTGAAATGATTCCAGTGAGTGATCTCAAGTGATGATCTTGTTCCCCAGTGTGCCATATAGCATGCAAGAACACGTGCTGGGAAGGAGGACCAAAGGGATGTGATGAGTGCAAGGATGGCTGGCTGTCCAATGAGGAGCTTGGTTGCCAGGGTAGGTGTGGGGCACGGTGCTGTGTGTATTTGTTGATGATGAAGGCCATGTGGAACCTGGAGAAGAGTCGCAGAGAATGATGTTCAGAAAAGTAGGAAGACATGGAATAATATGAAGAGGCTTACCCAGGATAGGGAAAGATAGAAAGTGTTGGTTTGTGGCCTATACCCTGATCCAGGGTGAGAAAGTCACAGAGTGAGTGAGCGAGAGTGAGTATTGTTCATGGTGTCTTTTGTAGATGTATATTCACTATGTTCCATAGGGAAGTACTCTAAAAAAAAAATTTTATATATACAAGCCAGCCAAGGGAACTTTTATAGGTCTGACAACTATCCAGAATTTCCCAGAATTGTCTTGAATGCAGTAATTGGGAATTTGAGAGGAGACTTTTTTAGCCTCCACCGTCAGATTTCTAACTTCTTTTCTGGTGTTTGCCAGAAATCTCTGTTTGTTTCAGTGAAATGGCTGTCTGCTTATGTTGGATGTCCCTGATGGGGTTTTTAAACAGTTGGCTAGCCTGCTTTTGTGAAGTCTAGTGAACCTTTAGTGGAAATATTATTATAAGTAAGTTAGCTGTAAAAAGTATTTGGCCAGAAACATTTGCCGTAAAATAAGCTCATCAAATTAAAAAAGATTGTTGATAGTCTTACGAGTTATTTCTCACATATTTCCATTTACTCTGCTCTTTTTTCTTTTATGGTGATTGGGGAAGGAGTTGTTAAGACTGTAGTAGTTTGTTCCTCCTTTTTATTTCTTTTCTAATGTTACTATTGTCATGACCCAAGTGACCAAAATGCCTGTATACTGCTGCTCAGTAATGGGTTGTTTCTATTTTCATTGACCTGCAGATGTGAATGAATGTTCAGAAGATCCGTGTGAGGAAAATCAGTATTGCACCAACACACAGGGATCCTACACATGCTTCAGTAAGTTTTCAAAAAGTCATAATTCTCCTTACAAATTCCAACATTACTTCTTATTTTCATTTTCCTACTTTTTTTATTGTGTGTGCGTCAATATTAAATTACACAAATGTTGTTTTATAATTTTTTTAAATTAGAGGCAGATGTTTCAAGAAAACACACTCTATAAGTATGCCATTAACAGAGGATAAAAGACATTATGAAAAAATTTCAGTCTTTGAAAACAATTCGTGGATTGAAAAAAAAAAATGTTTTTTTTGCTTTGTTAGTTTCTAAGGAATAAAGAAAGAATAGCATATTAAATGATCGTTGAGGTGGCAGCTGATGTATGATTACAGTATGTTAATTTTTTAGCACCTGTACAATTTGAGCTTGCAATGTACGTTTCCTATGAAGTTAAGATTGTTTCAGAACGCTATCGGGTCTGCTGGATTAAAATATAGATTGTAAAGTGCTTAGGTCTTGCTGTTGAGCAGGAATATTTGGTCGCTTTTAAGCACAAGTGGGCTATCCCGAAAAATTATATTTTGAGAAAAGCGAAGGTAAAGTTTTTGACCCTTGTTCAAAGAGAGTTTTCTCTATAGCCAAACAAATATACACACCAATGAAGCTAAACTTCTCCTATAGGTAGGGCAATGCCCACTTATGGCGTAGGTCAAGTTTTCTGGAAACCCCGGAAATCTGGGTTAGCCCCCCTATCCTTAAAAGTGACCATTTATAGTATACAAATACTATTTATTATTAGTGTTATTACATTTGACATGTTTTGTGTTATCCTCAGCGTGTGACGCGTCCTGTGTGGCTTGCACGGGCTCAGGGCCTGCCCGCTGCACAGAGTGTAATGCAGGGTACACGCTAAATGAAAACTTACAGATCTGTGCTGGTTAGTAATAGGAGTCTGCGTCTGAATACTCTCTTCTTGTGTCAGATCTTTTTTTTTTGTATGAAAACATAATGTTGTTGTGTCCCTTGTTTAACATGATGTGAGGCATGTTGACCAGATGAGTTACGTCTCGCAATCCACGAATGGAGATGTCAGCAGAAAATCGACGCTTCATATTTGTAGTATTTCAACTGATGCCATGTTCTTCGGGTTTAACACGTCTTTTATCCTTTCATATAATAAATTGTACAAACCCAACATACAAATTTTAATTTTCTATCTATGTTTGTGGGGCTAAAATCCAAGAAGTGACTCATTTTGTCAGCACACATCACGTATGTTTGTCAGAGTGCAAGTAATAATATTTTTTCCTGTCTTTTAAGATAATGTATCAAAATTACCACCAGCCCCCATACCCGTTCAGCCAAAATCCAGCCTTTTAGACTTTTTTAGTTTTACAAAACTCCCGGGCACCCTAACTTCAAGATCCCAATTTTTATGGGCAATTTTTTTAATTGACTTGTGTCAAAGTCTTCAGCCATAGCCGACAGCCCCAAGTTTTTCTTGTTGGAGAAAAAGACTTCTGTCCTTCTCGGGTGAACGGAGTAAGCTGCATTGCAAATATGGTCTCCCTTTTGTCGATGCTGTTCTTTTTTTAAACTTATTATTCAATTGTTTAAAATTATAATAATGAGTGGTTGGCATGTGCTCTGGTATGGTTTGCTCTTTCTTTCTTATCAAATTTCTGTCGTCCTTATCTCTCCTCCTTTTTATGTGTTTATCACTGTCTAATAATGCCTCTATTCTTTGGTGGTACAGTCGAACCTGCTCCCCCCTTGATATATTCCTCTTTAATTACCTGTATAAAACGGAAACCTGTCCAACGCGGAAACGGAAAGAAAAATCCGCTCCCTTCCGAGGGTTTCACTTGTCTAAGACGGAAAAAGCTTTGCCCACTCAGCCCTGGTTTGAAACAAGACTCGCAAGTTTGGTTCCGCCGGCTCTAAACTTAACACTATGGCCATGCCGCAGGGCGAGGAAGGGGAATAGGGTTACCCCATCATGTGAGCCCTGAGCGATGCAGATGGTCAGTGTAGTGTGGGTGTGAAATCTCACGACTGTCTGTGAGAGTGCTCAAGTAGCGAGCCATCACGGAAACTTTCCTGGGTAGCTAGAAGCCAGAGGTGTGAAATTAGATTAACCAATTTAACCAATGCCTGCTGCCCTGATCGTATGGCCAGCCGAGAAAAGAGTTCCTCGAATCGTTGTTACAATGATGGCAGTGAGGGGTGGCATTGGTGGGTGGGGCTAAGGGTGGAAGCAAAGGGGATGTTCAAACGTTTCTGGTTTTAATAGGTCAAACAGTGGTCCTATGAAAGGCAAGCACTGATGGTAATTGGAGAAGTAAGACTGACCCATGTCATTATCAGACAGGATAGCACTTGAGAGGTGTGAAGTTTTGCCCACTGCTTGCCGATCGGACAAGCGATCCTTGATCCCACCGGCTGGGCCTTTGAATCCCCCGCCCCAATCTCCACCTCCCCCCTAAATTCCCCTGTCTAAGACGGAATTTTTTTCTGGCTCCCTTGCGATTCCGTCTTACACAGGTTCGACTGTACTTAGATGACCTAAATGGGTTTTAAGTACCTTAAGTGGGTGATTGGCAGGTGCTATGGAATGGCTGGCTTCTTCTTTCCTATCAAATGTTTATCTCCCCTTCCTTCTTTTTTGTGTTTGTAACACCTCTAATCTTCGGCATTTATACAACCTTATTGTGTTGCTAGTGCTGTAATACTCTTACTAAACTAAGTACTGTAAAACGCTTACTAAAACTATAACAAATTATTTTGCTGGCTTGTTCACAGACATCAATGAATGTGAAGCTGATAGTTCACTGTGCTCGGGAGAGAACCAGGAGTGCAAAAATCTCCCCGGTAGCCACGAGTGTGTCTGCAAGGCTGGGTACCACATGAGAGATGGGTCTTGTCAACGCAAACCCAAAGGTAGAGTGATAATGACTTCATCTTTCTCCACAAAGGGGTGGCCATGTTCAAACACAGAATTCAGAAATCCATTTTCCCCAAGTTTGTGGGGCCTGTTTCAAATTCAATGAGTCATCCGAACTGTTTTAATTTTTGTCAGTTTGGTAAAAGTTTTACGACACTCGCAACTGCTTACGGTCATATGAGCTTGCCGGACACAAATTGATTGTTTTCTGGTTAGTTCATAGCACGGTCTGGTTTTACTTTGCGAGTCAAAATGGTTAAAATCCTAACTGGTCGAGGCTAATTTCAAAGGAGGCATGTTGTAGGGAAAAAAAATTTCTACAAACTTCTCTTTTGAAAATAAATATCCATCGAGGTAACGACTGTCACATTTAAGACTGGCGTATTGACCGAAAACTGACTTCTTTTTGTCGGCTTCTGACATATTTAGCAGAATGTAACAGATTTTTAAATTCTGGTCTGTTTGAACATGGTCACTTACTTGGTATGGTGGTTGGTTAAGTTTTTTGGTCCTTCTTTTCGCTCTCCGGGCAGTGCTGGGGTCCGTTCTGCTGTAAGCTGACAAAACGCCTTTTTATATTCGCTGCAGTTTCGAAAAAAAGAGTTTTTATTTGTCCGTGTAACCATTTTATAATAGTGTTCTTTTGAAATTTGAATTCTAGTTTATTCAAAAACTAGTCGTAGTTTCACTTTGATTTTTTTCTCACAAGTAGGGTAATTGATCAGGCTTTCAATTTAGCAAATAAAAAAATGTTGACTCCAAATTGAAAAATAGGCGTTTTGTCAGCTTACAGCAGAGTTAGTGTTTGGCTATACACATTTCCTTTCTCTTCTCAACATTCTGTCAACTCAAAGACCTGCACCTTTTCCTATCTGTTTTCGCTACAATCACACGGTCTGATTCCTCCCTCCTTCTTTTCCTTGTTACTCTGTAGAAAATTCTCTAATCTTCGGCACTTGTATGAGGTATTGTGTTGCAAGTGCCTTAAGAACTCCTATCAAAACTAAAACAGTCTGATTTATACACAAGTGCTCCCTTTTTGCATCTGTATGTGTTTCATGTATTCACGCCTGGGTTATTGGTGTTTTTATTTTAGTATTATGAAGTCTTTTTATGATAATTTATTGTGGTGTACAATTTTTTTTAACATAATATCAAAGCCACCATATGCTGGCTTGATCGTCTCTTTTTGATACCTTCTCACACGTTAATAATGAAAACGGATTCATCTTTGCTTTCTTATAAGCATCGTAAACGAGTGTGCAGTCACATAGTCATTGTGTAAGGCCATGAACCAGCCCCAAAGTTGCATCACATCCAAGTTGGACTCGTAATACCTTGAGTCTGGGGTGAGAGGGTTTCTTTGCTTTATCGGGAGCTTCTAAATTGTCCTTTCTATTTGATCGATCAGTCTGTCTGACCTCTACTCGTGTAAAGATTAATGAGTTCTGAATTTTAGGGTAAGAATTGTGCTATTTTAGATATATGTAAATTTCGTTTTATGCCTACTTTTCACATGACCTTAGATTACTTCTGGGACAACATTTATGAATGACTGGAGGGCCAACTGTTTCAATTAGTTCAATCTCTTCGTTTTTCTATTTTTCTGTATGTTGTCAGGCTGCTTTTTTTTTTTCAGCGCGATATGTAACTCATGCAAAAAAAGTGTTTGTTCTACTAGTTTCAGTGTATGTGCAAATGTACTGCAGAACTATAGTTTCAACAATGAGTTTTAGCAAATAGGTACTGCCAAGATATATCTGCTACAGACGGTTCCTAAACCTAGAGCTGAATTATGGAATAGTGTGTAGGTCAATGCAATGTCTGGCCCCCCTTTTTTTTTCCCCATGGAAAATCTTTAGGTGCCATATTTAAAGAAAAGTTTTGAGGTGGTTCTTTTTTCTTCAAGACAAAAGAGTAGAACAAGCATGTCGTCCTGATGGCATTGTGATGTCGTTAAACTTTGAATTAATAGAAATCACTTTATGAATAGACCAGGCTAATAATTCAGAAGTGTGTGGTTTTCATTCATTTTCAGGGGGGTGTTAAAGTGTTAATAATAATAATAAAGATCACTTTGATAGTAAGCACCCACTCTAGAGTGACTCCAGGCGCTTCACAATTAAATTCAAATCAACGTTTCGTGCCTACTTGCCCATTCAATGTACGACAGTTCTTTCAAAGATATTTGCACCCATAATCTTATAGGGAACGCATGCACAAAAAGACAATCACTGCGTTGCTTGGTTTTTGTGTATATTATTTTTTTGTTAATGATCTTATTCAGTCTGTTTGGTAGCCATTCTGATATAGTGTGCTCCCTCCACTGCTCTTTGAGTTTTTCTTTTGTCTTATTGTGCCAGTCGGCGCTATATGTACAGTTGAACCTGTCCAAAACAATCACCCAAATTGAAGAGAAAAGTGGTCATCTTACTTAGACTGGCGATCCTCTTGGAGAGTATCATTATAATGCGAGGGGAGGGGAGGGGGAGGCAAGGGGGGTGG